TGTGTTTGTAGAGTAACAGGTAGAAAAGTTGACTGACAATTTAATTTCCCCAGCTAGTGCATGCTCTGTCAGTATTTGGGTCTCATCCGCATGCACACTATCCTGCTATGCACGCAGGTGAGAAGTGAGGTTTGAGTTGTGGTTTCAGGGCTCTGTCTTTTAGAAAGCCAATTAAGTGTTCTGTCTTAAGGCTTTACTGATGTGGGGTACTAAGTTGCTTTGCTATAGTCATGCTTACCTGCCCCAAAATTATACAGGGTGGGTAATAGTGTTATACACTACACATCAACAGGTGTCTTGCAAACAAAACGTGTAAGATGTTGAATACTACATTGCGTTGCATAAATAAGGGTCTGCCCCTCATGTAATGCTGGAAAGCATAAAATACACTTAAAACGCTTCTTTAAGATGTGTGTGATTGCTTCTGGTAAGGTGTTTCTTGCCAGTGGTTACAGCTTTGGGCCTCTGTTTTATGTTTGGGCTCCTGGCTATTATAATTAAATCCGTTCAGTTTGCAGCTAACTACTGATGATAAATCTTTAAGTTTTCTCTCGTGAGGTTAGCATGGCTCTTTCTATTACAGACTGAATGAACAAGCCAGTGAGGAAATCTTGAAAGTAGAACAGAAATACAACAAACTCCGCCAGCCATTCTTCCAGAAGAGGTCAGAATTGATCGCCAAAATCCCAAATTTCTGGGTAACAACATTTGTCAACCACCCGCAAGGTATATTGCTAATAGCCCTCTGTTTCCGTACATTCAATGCTTCCTTGCTTGTAATGTGAGGCTCTCGCAGTTCTGAGTGTTTTCTAGGAATGTTACTAGGCATACACTTACACAGAAGCCTCCTTCATATGCAAACACTTCCTTTTGTCACAGGGTACATTTAATAACTTTTTGGCTTTTGCGTTTGTTGACCAAAGGAACATCTTGATCACTAGAATTCCATGGCAATTTTCTTCCTGTATTTTAAATGACAAGTTTCACACTTTCCACAAATGATGAGCCCCTCGAAAGAAAATACAGCTGCTAGTAGTCTGTTCTCTGGTTTCTGTCTTAAAAAAAAAAAAAAAAAGGGCCACGAGAAGTTGGCTCAAATGTGTTGTTTCAGATCGTATGCAGTGTAAACTTCCTATATTTCATATCTATGACATAAGTTTAATAGCTTTGTTAACTTGGAATTCCTAATTTTACTTCAGTATCTGCACTGCTGGGAGAAGAAGACGAAGAGGCACTGCATTATTTGACCAGAGTCGAGGTGACAGAATTTGAAGACATCAAATCAGGTTACAGAATAGATTTTGTAAGTACTTTGAATACTCCTTCACTTTTGACTTTGCTTTTTTGAGTAGTTGTGTATGGGCTTGTAGTGCGTAACTTAATCTTTGCAGTTGTCTATTTAGTCCCAGATTTGACTTGGCACGTATATGATTACTTTCTGTGAGTTCTAACTCTTTGCTTTCAACTCTGCAGTATTTTGATGAGAACCCATACTTTGAAAATAAAGTTCTCTCCAAAGAGTTTCACCTGAATGAAAGCGGAGACCCATCTTCAAAATCAACTGAGATCAAATGGAAATCTGGAAAGGTGTGTCTCTGTATCTGGGAGAGGCAATTGCTGCTGTATGTGATACCATCATTTTCATTTGTGCTCCTTTCTTTTTTTCATAATTGCAGCTGTCTCTTCCCCTTTCCATCCCTTTCCTTCTTTTCTCTATGTGTAGTTCATGCTTTGCAACACTTACAGGGAGATACATAATTTGTTCTCAATTCTGTACAATAGCTCAACTTAGCTACTGTGCAGAAGTTACAGCTTTAGTATGAAGTAGCTGAATGGTCTTTAAAATATACCACGAAATTGATGCAAATTTTAGTATTGTTCTTCATTTATATAATATAAGCTTATAAGTGTTACAATTCTATTAAGAAAACAGACGTTGGAAGTTTTGAGTTGCCTTATAACCCAAGAAAGAATGGGTTAAATACAGGATGGTTGCATTCTTTTCAAACTTAGAATCGGGTTGTTGAAGTTCTGGGCTGATGTGGTGGATGTATGTTCTTGTGGCCATACGTTTTAGTGGCGTGTGCCTTTTTATTTGCTTACCATAGAGAATGTCCTGAAGACTTCAAAGCAGAGTATGTTAAGATAAGAGCACCAGGCAGGCTTTCATCTCAGTATTAAGTTAAAGACAGAGCTTAGAAGTGTGGAGACTGAACATTTTTAAACTGTGTATTTGTGCGGTAGTTGTAGCATTGAGCTACAATCACAGCAACTCTAGAGCAGTATTAAGCTATTTTAAGTTTGGCATTTCACTAAACACTTGTTTACTTCCCATGACAGAGAGGCATAAAGGAAGTGCAAGTTCTTGTGTATCCACAGTGTGTCAGTGGAAGTCATTAAAAGAAGCAAGTAGGCTTATTGCTGAGTGGTAGCTTTTGCTATGAATCCTTAAAATTCCAAACATTTATTTTAAGATTTTTCCCTGAAAGATGGAATAAACGCCATATTTTGGTTGTTTAGATGAGTATGTTTCTAAATGGTGCTCGTGTTTACTTTTTGGGGGGCGTGGGGATGTGGAGGGGGGGGTGAACACACACAAAAAAGTGTAAAAATGTATTTAGAGAACTTCTTAATTTTGTTTTCAGGATCTGACAAAACGTTCAAGCCAGACACAGAACAAAGCCAGTAGGAAGAGGCAGCATGAAGAGCCAGAAAGTTTCTTTACCTGGTTCACTGACCACTCTGATGCAGGTGCTGATGAGCTAGGAGAGGTCATCAAGGATGACATCTGGCCAAATCCATTACAGTACTACTTGGTAAGAATAGCACTGTGCTCTTATCCTTACCTGCAGAAGCGCTGCGCAGATAAAAGTGAATTTGATCACTGTAGTTATTGTATGTGTCTTGAAGGTTCCTGATATGGATGATGAAGAAGGGGAGGGAGAGGAAGATGACGATGATGATGAAGAGGAAGAAGGATTGGAGGATATTGATGAAGAAGGAGATGAAGATGAGGGAGAAGAAGATGAAGATGATGATGAGGGAGAGGAAGGAGAGGTGAGCACTCAGCCTTTACGTGTTCCCTCTCTCTGATCTGTGGGAATCGGATCAGTTTAATATAGAGGGACTTTGTGAGAATGTTGAGCCATTGGTATAAAGGTAGTTTTCTGTACAGCCATTGACAAAGTTTTAGAAGGAGAGAAGCAGAACTATTACTGCTTTAACTTACAGTATTTCAGTGTAGTGGTAAGTACGTTTGTGCATCTGAGTGTGCAAATAACCTAGTTTGAGTAAACCTGCAAGCAAAGTGCTCTAGATAAATTAGGATATTAGTATCTGCTCTAGCTTAAAAAAATCATTAATTAGTGAGCATTGTAGCAAAACTTTACTTGTAAAGCTGTTGTTGATGCATCCAGTTCTGTGATTCTCCTGCCTGTTGGTTCATTTTGACTTATTGGCATTCTAGTTAAGACTCTTTGTTGAGTTCAGGAATTAAGTTTTGCTTAGTAGCAAATAGGGTTCTGGAGACAGCACTCAGGGCGTTGGGAAGTTGAAACTGAGCGTTTGTTTCTGGTTACTGAGGCAGGAGGACTGCTGTGGGTACCAGCATTGTATGCTGAGTAATGGGCTGTAACCTAGAATATTAGCATCTGAAAGTTGAAGAATTTTGGCTCTTCTGATTTCAAAAGGAAACACCAAAGAGAATGAATTCACTTTCTAAATGATGAATGTTAGTGATTCTAAGTCATGGTAACTTTGTCAAAACTGTTTTTTCAATGGGGCATACAGTACTGACTGACTTCTGTGTGGCTGCATAACTCATGATAAGTGTCACCGTTAGTGAAGAAGGACAGATGATCACACAGTGCTATGAGTAATACTGTAGGACTGTAGTCTCTAGGGTAGCAAAACATGCTAGTTACTGCATTTGAAAGTTCGTGCTATCTGGTGTTTAGTGATTAGATTTTTTTTAATTGTTGTTTATCTTTCAACAGGAGGATGAAGGAGAAGATGACTAATTGAACACTGATGGATTCCAAATTCCCTTTTTACCTTTTTAATTTTTCTCCAGTCCCTGGGAGCAAGTTGCTGTCTTTTTTTTCTTGTGCTCAGTCTCCTTGTTCTCTTGAGGTCTCTTTTTCTCTCCTCTACACCATGGTTCACGATTTAATTTGGGGAAAATACCTTGAGCAGAATACAGTGGAAAAGAATCTACCAGTTTCTGTTTCAAGTTCATTTTTATCCCTTTCTGTCTCAAAACAAAAACTGTTTATGGAATCAACACACCATATTCTGTGGGAAAAAAGAAAACCTTCTGCTCCCTTCACTCTGCTGGAAGCTGAAGAGTGCTAGGCCCCTGTGTAGTAGTGCATAGAATCTAGCTTTTTTCCTTCTTTCTCTGTATATTGGGCTCAGAGATTACACTGTGTCTCTATGTGAATATGGACAGCTAGCATTTACCAACATGTATCTGTCTACTTTCTCTTGTTTAAAAAAAAAGAAAAAGCTAAAAAAAAAAAAAATGGGGTTATAGAAGGTCAGCCTGGGGTGGGTTTCAGATGTGTGGGTGGGGTAAGTGGGCATTTTGACAACATGGCTTCTTCTCCTTTGGCATGTTTAATTGTGATGTTTAACAAACATCCTTGCAGTTTAAGATGACACTTTTAAAATAAAATCTTCTCCTAATGATGACTTTGAGCCCTGCCACTTGATGGAGAATCAGCAGAACCTGTAGGATCTTATTTGGAATTGACATTCTCTATTGTAATTTTGTTCTTGTTTATTTTTAAATTCTTTTTTTTTTTTTTTTTGTTTCACTGGAAAGGAAAGAAAGATGCTCAGTTTTAAACGTTAAAGTGTACAAGTTGCTTTGTTACAATAAAACTAAATGTGTACACAAAGGGACTGGTTGGTCTTCACTGAAAGAAAAAGTTGTAATATTCTGTTTTGGACTTGCACATAGTTTCTTAGCATTTTTGGGGGCATTTGGTCAGTATATTTATGTAATGCAATGCAACCTTGTGGTTCTGTGGACTGATAACCAGTTCATTTAGGTTCCATTATTTCAGTACTTGGAAAATGCTTCATCTGGCAGGTACTGCTGTGCGCTCCTCTTCTTGAATTATGTGACAGTCGTGAGACGAGGCTGTAGTGCGTATGCCTGGTATGAAGATAAAGTGTATCTTCACGTTCTGCAAAAGGAAAAGCCACTTGATTCAGCTGTTTTAGTACTAACTTGGAGTACTGTACCTCAAGGAAATCAGTTTGCATGAGAAGACCGTGCAAACTCAGAATAAAAAGACGGGGTGGGCTCTAGTAAGACTTTCTGTGGTTCTGGAATTCTGTTCAGGTGAAAATATTCGGTGCAAGCAAACTATTTGGGTTATTTCAATTAGCAAGATTCTTTGAAGCTTTTGTATAAAGAAGCTGCTACTTACTGCTTTCTCTCCTTGGTAGCAGTCTGTAAATATGCTTTAGATATACTTTTTTTTTTCCTCCCCCCATGTTAAGAGACTGTTTGAATAGCTTGTAATGATTTCACATAGAGGTTGTTGGTATTTCACAAAGTGTAATGAAAGTTGTTTTAACATGCTGTGCTTTTGAAATATTTAAAAGATTGTATTAGCTAATCTCAAATTCAAACAGCTAGTTCTCTTTGGATGTGTAGAGAAGACTGTCTTCTGGGAAGACTTGCTCTTATATTCTCTGATTCTTTTTTCTCACAGAATTTGCCGTAATCAAATTCTGCTTTTTTTTCTTTTTCTTTTTTTTTTTTTTTTTAATGCTTAAGAATACACTTAGCAGAGCAAGATTAAACCTGTACTTGAGATGTGCCCAAATAACATAGGAAATGGGAGAGTATTCTGTAAGTGTTGGGTCCACCGCGGATTCAGTCCGGTTACCGGAGATGAAACAACATCCAGTCTGCATGCGATCAGTGCAAAATAAGGCCATCTACTTTATTCCATCTCAACTAAAGCTTCTGCTCAGGTCTTGCTGCTTGCAAAGCAAATGAAAATATTAACTGTGATGGTTTTTTTGTTGGGTTTTGTTTTGTTTTGCCATCTAAAGAGAGAACAAATGAAAATTAGGAAGCCTATAACTTTTTTGCTTGATTCCTTCTTTTGCTCTAAGATAGCAGTCCGCTACTTGTTGTGGTAGCAGGTTGATGTGCTATTATTACTTGCCCTGATGCCTCACAAATGTTAATTTTTATGTAATCCTATTTGATTGTAGATCTTTAAGGATAATAATCTAGCCTAGTCTTAATGCTTTGTGGAAAAAAAAAGAAAACAACCTGTGCCATTGTTGCTAATGTCTGTTATTATCAGAAAACCTATAAAAACTGTTCTGAAAGTAATCAAAGTTTCAGGTTCTGTAAAGTCAAAATTCCATGAGCAGAAAATACAAAGTATGGATACTGAAATGCTTCTTTAGAGGCTTCCTTATCCATTTATACAGGGATTGTGTGGATTTTACAGGATAACAAAACATTCTTGCTACTGTACTGATGATACTGAATTTCCTGTGAAACAGAAAGGTTTACTACTGGCAAGAGCTAACGAGTAAACTAATGTACTAAAAAAGTAAACCATATTTAAATGTAATCTTAAATATCTTTTTCTAGCAATAGAAATGAATAGGAATTAACACATTTCTCACCAACAGTGAGGAAATACTGCAGATGGGCATCATGCGCTCTGGCTGTTCACATCATGTCTAATTTGACTGAATATAAGTAACGGGTGCCCATTTTTACTTGACCTAATCTGTGCTTGCATTCAAAAAAGCACTTAGAGGTAATGTCCACCTTGGATAAGAATGGGAGATTAATTTCTATTAAACATCTATCTCTATCTCTTGTTAATTCTCCAATGCTGCTTGAGCTCCTCACATGCGGTTGATCCTACTGAGTGAAACTTGTCACAGATGGAAGCTGAATTTAGGCTTTATGGCTTGAATTTCCAGGGTTAAAATTTGGAATTGGTGACAATTTAAAGTTACTGTACTTAAATGACTTGAAGGTTATTTTAAGTTTGAAATTTAATTGCTATAAAATGGAATCCTTTGTCTGTAATTTCTAGTGCCAAAAGAAAGCAAATACATCCATGTGTGTAAATAGGTTTTTTAACATGTATGCTTATTCATAGTTGTCAATACAGGTTTTGTCCCTGTAAACAATCGATTTCTCAGTCATTCATGCCATTTGTTTGAATCTGTAAGCTTCTCTTTGTACCACTTCAAAACAGGTGCATAATGGTAGCACTTTGTTTATCTGATACTGTTCCTGAATTTTGAAGCCATGTCTTTTTTTTTTTTTCCCAAAAGAAAACCTGAAATCACTTCTGATGTACCTTCAAGCTATCCTTCTATTGGAAGGAATTAAAGTACCTTTAACTGTAACTTGATGTTACCATTTCTAAGAGTCTTTTTCAAAAGAATCAGCTATTAGTCCCAAACTGCGTTGTTGGGTGGAAGTTGTGTGCTCACTTTTATGGACTGCAGGTGCCTACTACGGTAAAGGTGAGGTCACAAGTGACCCTAGAACAAGAAGCTTGCTTCTGCAGGGGAGCAGCTCTTTGCTTAATCTCTTGCACTCCTTCTCCTGGATTAAAATGGAGTTTTCAAAGGCTTTTCTCTTGATCCCACATCTCTGAGTGAACATGCTCTGTAGTGGAGGGAGTCCCATAAAACCTAACACCCAGTGCCTGCAAAGTAGCATCACTTTGTGCAGCAATGACCCTGGGCAGCTACTCAGAGGATTTCTGCAGTGCCCAAGGGCTGGAGCAGCATCTCTGTGTGCTGCTGCTTCTCCCCAACTGCTGCTGGCCAGCAGGACTACTCTGTGGCTGGGCCTGGGAGCATCGCTGGCAGCTGAAGGGGCTGTTCTGTACCCCTGTGCTGGCGGCAGACCAGTGTCCACTCAATGCCTCTTCCCAGCAGGATGTTGGAAGGGCTGGGTGGGCGCTTTGTGCTTTCAGCAGTGACGTTTTCCGAGGGACAGAGAGGTGAACAGAAGGGATAGCTGAACTGGCCAGGGCTATCTCTGACTGGAGGGGAGGCAGAGGGCTGCCAGCACAGCCAGACCCTCTTGGCCTTTGGGCACACACATGCTGTGAGGGTTGGCTACTGCCAGCCCCATCCCTACTGGCTGCAGGACTCGTTCAGCCAAGTGAACCTTGTCCAACTCTTACAGCTCCCTGGGCTCCACACACTGATGCCCAGCCTCGCAGGGAAGGTAGAGGCCCAAAAAGAATGAGGAAGCCACCCTACAAGCCCCCAACACAACAGTGGGCAGACCGACCTCTGCACCTCACTGAGCTAAACTTCAATCTCTACACATGGGACGGTTTGTCCGCTGCTCCTGTGAAACTCCAAAGCCAACTAAATCATCTTTTCCTTTCCTAGTATTTCCACAGAATGAAGAGTCTAATTAAAATCATTCCTTAAACACTAAACAGAGCCTGGCCCACGTTACAAAAAGCAGCAGGTTCCAGAAGGGTTTATATTAATCTAATGCACTGGGTTTATTAACAACAGGAGCATGTTCAAAGGTTTTATAGAAGTCTAAGGCTTCATTAATTCAACTTGATTAAGCTAGATTTCAATTCTACATTTTCTGGTGGTTTCCTTATACTAATTATTCACTTGTAGACTATTTACAACGGGCTTATGTTAGAAAAAACGGCTCTAATTAAATAAAAGAAAAGCATTCTCTTTATTAGCCTATTTCTAAGCACGTACGTGGGAATACTATCAACTCTGGATGGCTCCAGGGCTGAAAAAGCATATTAATGCACAAATAATACTCAGTGCTGCCGAGGAGGGATGCGAGGGGAGGTTTGTGCCACCTGAAGGCAGCGATGCTGTGTCTCAGCGGCTGCGATGCACCGCCTGTCAGCTCTGCGTGGCGATGAGGCAGCGCTCGGCGTTCTGTAGCGACGCTGCCAATGGGTTCGGGTTCCTTCTGTCCCAAATATTCAGCTGAAGCAGCGTTGTCTCGCTCCTGCCCCGCAGAGGGGCATCTCTACAGAGAATCAGTTGGTCACAGACAGATAGATGGGCGTCGTCTCCTTTCCAGGGCAGCACCGTCCCTGGAGGAGAGCTGCGGATTGCCCTACGTGCAAGCTACAAACAGCCGGCAGGGCCAGCACAACCAACAGCGCCCGGCTTCAGCCCGGAGATGTCACGAACCGAGCTAAGATCTGTCACGGCGTCACCGTAACGTCGCTTTGCCACAATACCCCGCTGCCGGTGCCTACGGAGGCGGGAGGTGCCTCGGTCTCCTCAGCGTCCGGCTGCCGCGCCTCTCCTTCCCGCCGCCATCCCGGCCGTTCCCTCAGGGCGGAGGGCTGAGCTCGCAGCCGGGCGTTGCGCGGGCACGGGAGGAGGATCCCCGCTGCTCGAGGGCCGCCCGCCGGGACTTCCCAGACCCGGACCCCGCGAGAGGGCGCTGGCGGGGCCGCGCCGCTCCCCGGGAAGGCTGAAGTTTGAAAAAGTGCCGGTCGTTGGCGGCGCCGCACGGAGCGATGGCGGCGGGCAGCCCGCAGGTGAGCGGCGCGAAGGGCGAGGCGAGCCTGAGGCGGGGGGCGTCGAGGCGTCCCTCAGCCCCGTCCTGGGGGGCTTTCGGGGGGGTTTCCCCGTCCTCCCGCCTGGAAAACTCGGCTCCGTGCTCCGCCGGAAGCCCACGGGAGGGGGCGGTGGGCAGGGAGGATCGCGGCTCTCTCCCGGGGGGGGGTAGGAAGGCAGGCAGCGCCCGGCGCTCCTCGGGGAGTCGGGGTGCTATGGAGGAAAGCGGGGTCCTCCTCGGAGTGGGAGGGGCTGCGCGGCTCCCCGCGGGGAAAAGCAGCGCTTTCTGGAGTGAGCTCCCCGGCACAGGGGTACGAACTCCTCCTCGAGGCGTTTCGAGCCGAATCCGGGCAAGCGGTGATGGGGAGACGGCACAAAGAGCTCTCGGTGCCATTGCTGCGGGTGTGCCCCGTCCCGCGGCCGCACGGGATCTCCGCTTGCCAAAAATCTCATCGTTCAGTGTTGGAAAGAGGACCAGCTCCAGGCAGGGCTGCAATCGCTTTTTTCCAAACCGAGCTGTGTCCTTTTCTTGTAAAGAGCGAATGTGGTTAACGCGATCTGCCCGACGCGGGCCTCAGCACGAAGCTGCTGTGAAAGAAGGGATTTAAAATGCTGCGGTGAAGACGTGTGGTCTGCAGCGGGATGCTTCATCACATCCAGCTCCTTACATCACATCAGTTTTGCGGTGTGGCTCTGAAGGACGGCTCTGTGCTGGGCTTTGTGCAGCTGATGGCCAGGCTGGGTAGCGGCCCAGGGGCTGCAATTCAGAGGGCCGAGAGCAACTTGGGCTCTGCTGAAATCTTTGCTGGATAGGAAGCAGTCTGGATGCTTCAGCACAACCCGAGTGCAGCTGAAGCCCTGGGTGAGCTCTAGCAGGCAAAAGTACCAAAAGTGAGCTAATTTAAGCTAGCTGGGGGTATTTCTGTGCAAGTTGTGATTGTGTGCCTGGGTTGTGCTGAAAGGCTGAGCTCAGCTGAAGGGCTGACCTCTGGGAGGCCAGGAACAGCTGCACGTGGGCTGTGGCGGCATCCCGACACCCCAGCGACATTCCTCAGTCAGAATGCAAAATGCATCAACACAAATGCAAATGCAGCTTTCTTATCCTTCTCAGAATAGAATGTTCTACATTCCTGGAGCAAACTATATCTGTGGTAAGGCATCCCTGCTCTATAGAGGGGTAGAAGGACCCAGTAAAACATACCATGCTTACGTTCTAATTGTGTTTAGAAAATGAGTGTGGTGCATTCCGTCCAGCTTCTGGCAGAGTGACTTGAAGGGAAACTGACCTGACTACTGCCTGGACTACAGCTGTTCTCTGAACCCCTATCCAGGTTTCTGCACTCGGTACCCTTTGTCAGAACTAATCTTGCATCAGCCACTCATTCTGTTGCTCTGTGCAGATGGAGAGGATGGATTGCTTACCTCCGTTTGCATAGTTTGGATAGAAAATAAATCTGCCTGCTTTTTCTGATTTTTTTTTTAAATTATTATTATTTTTTTTAAATGAGACTTAACCAGCAGACTAATTTTAGTCACTTCTTACAAAGTGGATAAAGAGCTTTTTGATTTTCCAACTTCAAGCGGGTAGAGCCTGAGCCTGTGACTCAGGAACTCCATGATTCAAGTTCTTCCTCGCAAAACCCTGGATGTTTTTCAAAGCTCTGGCTTAGTTCCTGGCTTTATTAATTGGGCGAGAACTTCCTGGACTCAGGATGTTAATCTGAAGCTTTTTGTTTTGCTACCAATCTGAACAATTCCTATTATGGCTATAGCGTATCCCTTGCAGACCCAACTTGGTTTTAGGCCAAATTTAAAATAGATTTGTTTTTCCTTTTAGTTCTTTCATTATTTTGCTGTTGGGCTGAACTTGTACTGCGAACTGGTCAAGGATGTTGGTTTGGGTCTTTGAGCTGTGTAACAAAATATACAAAGGGTGTGATTGAATAATTATTTGTTTCTGTGTGAGTGGCATGGGCTTTGGGTGCACAGCACGCTTAAAGTGCAGCAGTGTATGTGAGTAATGCAAAACCAGTGTGGTTTATTGTTGGGAACATGGTCAAGCAATTAAGGAATATGAAAGCAAATCATGAAATCATGATTCCTGAGTTCTCTCTTTAGTGTGGTTGTGTGGTACCGAGTTGGTTGGTGGAGTTTGGCTGTGCAACCATTTCTTTTGCATTTAAGTGGGGAATGTGATCATGCTACGTTAAGATATTAAATGCTCTTAATGCCATAAAGCCACCTCTTGTGCAGAAGAGAGAAGCACAGCCTCTTGTTTTCATCTGTTTCTTTAGGTTTAGGTAGCATCCTTCTGGATAAAGTTTTAAGAGCTGCTGTTTGAATTCAGTGCTTGTTTGGTGAGTGAGATATACTTTAGATGCTACTGCCTATACCGTGCAGGTTCAAAGGTTCAGAGTTTGTATACAGAACACCTCTGTCCAGAGCTGCTGCTGAGGCATATCTCAGCAGAACAAGGTGTATTGAAAACAATACGAAACAAAGCCCAGAGCAAGTGTGGTGGCTGCTAAATGCAACACGTTGAGTGGCCTTGCTGCCTGTAAACCACAGGTTGAAACAGCAGGCTGCTTCCCTTTTCAGACACAGCTGGAAGTTAAGCTTGTTCTTTGCTTGCTCGTTTGTAAGCAGCTGCTGTAGGGGTTATGTTTGTCTTCTTCGGGGTAACAGCTTTGAGCTGATGCATGGTTGTGACATTCTGTAACGTCTCTAACAGGATAGTTGTGTGTCTTTGGATACATAATCTGTATTTACTGTATGGTACCAGTAGAACGTGATCAGGACAAAGGCAAATATTGGCTAAGTTTGATACTGTAGGAACAAAGATTTATGTAGCCATTAAATAACCAAAAGAAAAGTAAGATGGAGGTTTGTTTTCACTATGATTTAAAGCTGAATTACAGCCCAGGATGATCAAAGTTGCATTTTATCCTCCGGACTTTGAATCTAAGTCTTGAAAACTTCATGAAAAGATGAGCTTCAGAGTTTGTGTGAACCATTTTCTAAATGAAATGAAGGAGTGGAATCTTTTAAGGGTATTGTTTCATCCTTAAAAAGAAGGTTAAACTGTTTTATTTCTGAAATCCTCTTGCCCAATGCTGCTTGATTGCAGGGCAGCTGTCTCTTGAAGCTGGGCAATGGTGTGAACTTAATGGATCCAAGCTTCCAGCAAAAACTGGAGGGTGAGAAGGAACTACTTCGTCGTGCTATACAGAAAGAACTGAAAATTAAAGAGGGAGCAGAAAACCTGCGTAAAGCAACAACAGACAGAAAAAATCTGGCTCATATAGAGCACGTGCTGAAATCCTCCAACCGCAAACTAGAACAACTTCATTGGGAACTTCAGGAGCTGAATGCGAGGATTGTAATAACTGGCAAGGAGGACAATAAGACAGGTATGCCATGGGTCACAGCTGGCAGGAAAATCTTGTGGTGCTCCAATGCCAGCGGGGATTTTTCCTGGTGGTATTCAGCTGATGAAATACTCTGTGCAGTAAAAGGTTGGGAACAGAAGCAATTGAGGTGAAAGGAGTCGGGCAACATGAGAGATTGGTGTAGAGGGAAGAATGTTGGGCATGAACAATATTTAGGAGCAGGCTGTAGGTGAACTTGAAGGGATCTGAATAGGCAGTTGAACATTTAAGTACTTTATGGGATGTGAGTGAGTATAAAATTGAAAGAGTGATTGGTAGGAGTAGTTCACTGATAAAAAGAAATACTTAGAAACTTAAGCTTCATTTGAAACAATATTTTGCAGTCAGTTTTGTAGAGAATAGAGACCTTTTTATGTGTTATTTTGTAACTTAACCTTCTTGTGTGGAATCATTTAGAACCATGCGGTGAAATAACTCAAGAAAAGACAACTAATTATGTTTATGACATAGTTTGTACAGATGGATCTTTATCTCCTGACCCTTGCCTCTGGGAAAGAAACCCAGATCCCATGGCCAGGAAGGTTGAAGCTCTCAAAAAGCAGCTGCATGTTGAAATGAAAGTCAAGCAAGGAGCTGAGAATATGATCCAGATGTATTCAAGTGCAACATCCAAGGTAAGCAGGAATAAACAACAATTTGGAAATATTGATTCCTGAAATTAAATGTATCTATATTAAATCCATATACAAACTCTCTCTGGTAATTGGTATGTGAAAGAAATTAATCTGTGAAGCATGCTTGACTGAATCCTAGCTCTGCGTTTTGGTGCTCAGCATAGTGATAGCAGGTTATGGTACTGCATGGGACAACCAGTCATATGAAAGTAACATGTTGCAGCAATCTGACACACAGATTGCAGGAATTGAAAAGGAATTGGAGGGCACATATGTCATTTGTCAAGAGCTTAAGCTAATCTATAATTACTGGATGTTAGGGCAAGGCTTTTCTGGAAGGGCATTTTTAGTCCACTTTGGCCCATACTATGGTTGCCTTGTCTTTTATGAATCATGTGGTGATTACTGTTAGAGGGGAATTATTAGACCAGCCAGACTGGCAAAGCCTAGCAATTTTGCTCCTTATAGCAGTTCTTCCATGGCAAATGCTGATTGTGCTTCTGCTCTTGAATGTTGCTTAATGGTATTAATGATAGAGTTGGGAATCATTCTTTTAATTATTTTTTTAATTTTTTACCTCAGCCACCTAAATCCTTCTATGAAAAGTTCTAGTTAGATAAAGAGTTGCTGTAGGCACGCTCGTTCATTCCTGAATCGATGGATGACCTTTTGGAAAAATCTTACTTACACACTACAGACTCTTCATGACTCCTTTGGTGTAGATGCTGAACTTGGCTGACTGAATGTCCATGTAGATGTGTTAAGACATCCAACCTCAATGTTCGTAGTGACTTGAGCTTAGAGGCAGCTTTGAGTTGGAGAAAAGTATCTCATAGGAAGTAGCATGATAGAAGTGCTATCTCTAGAAAACAGAGATATTCTCTAACTCTATTTAGCTTGAGAAGATAGTGATAGTGAGGGTAGTATAAGAGATACATTCAGTTGGTAATGTGAGGAAAATTAAGTTAAAGTGTGTTGATATCTCTTTATTTGAGAGAAATTTTCAGTGCTTTACTAGTTTCATATTCATCCCACTTACTGAATTTGGCATAATCATATTTAAAAGTCAAAAGTCAAACTTAATTCACTAAGACCAGCAGTGTACAGGCGTGTGCTATTCTGATATTCTCAAACATTATGCTCAAGAGCACTGTAAGTACAACTAAGTAATGAGCTACAAGTCTCAGCTGACTGCAAGATTTGGTACTAACTGACGTATCTATAAGGCATTTTGTAGCAACTCATTTTTTTTTCCCTTGGTGTCATAGTCCATCAAAGACTCCTTGGCCTGTCCTTTCTCTCTAAAAACTGAGATAATGATCTCAAAGTCCTTGATCCTCAGCAATGTCTCTTTTACATAAATGCTTATGTATGCTATTTCAGAATCGTTTATATGATCCTTATTGCAGGTAGCATCTCACTCCTTAGCTGAACACATCGCCATAATCTATTTTTAATGGTCATGGTCCTTTCTCTGCACATGCTTTCTGTTTGGCAGGAGCGGAAGCTGCTGGCTACAGCTAAGCAGATGCTTCAGGACAGTAAGACAAAGATTGAAATTATCCGCATGCACATCGTGAAGGTGTCTCAGTCAGCAGGAGGGATGGAAGATACGGTGGATCCAGCAGGTAGCGTGTGTTAAGTGAAAGATGTGGCCAAAACCTTAAGAGCCAGAATAGTCTATTTTGATCCTCACTGTATTTTATCTCCCAAATACCCAGTGAGGCTGGGAGCCACCATCAATGCTGTGGAGCTGCGCATTGAGGAGCTGAGGCATCGTCTGCGTATTGAAGCTGCTGTAGCTGAGGGGGCAAAAAATGTGCTGAAGATCCTAGGAGGGAGTCGGGTACAAGATCGCAAATTTTTGGCTGAGGTAAGCACTTATTCAGGTCGTCTTAAAGAGCAGTTTCATGCCTCAACACCAGTGATTTAGCCTGAATGAGCAGAACTAACCATAAGTTGTGAATTTGGCAAATTCCTGACTGTGAGAACAGACTGTTTGGGATCACTTTCTCTTCCATGGATAATATTCCTTGCTTTGGTGAAGCTACTTAGAAACTACTTAGACACCAATGGGGCAGTCAGGATCTGTTGGAAAATGTTCCCTTAAGTTCTTTGTTATTAAGATGTTATCAGCCCTTTTTTTTGAGACCAACTCTAGTTGTTCATAAAGGAATAGTAGTACCTTGACTGGAGCTGTTCCTTTGAAAACTTCTGCCTGCTTTCTGTTCTACTTCATATTGCTAGGCTCAGGGTCGTTTGCAAGAGTCCTCTCAGAAGATTGACCTGCTGCGCTTGTCCTTGGAACGTCAGCTTAGTGGGCTTTCTCCAGATCACCCAAAACGAGCTCTCATCAAGCAGGAATTAGTAAATACCTCTTCTCTGGGAGCTCAGCATGGCATTATCCAACCCACTTCAGTCATCAAACCTACAGCTCTTACAGGTATGTAAATCCTGCACAGCATCTTGTTGTGGAGAAGATGAAATTAAAAATGAGTTGCATTTCTTCTAATTGTTGTAATGTCTCTTGTTATGTGGACATTTGATCTTCTGTGAATAAGACTTATTTCTTCTATGCTACTAAAAGCTTTCTGATCGTATGAGTTAGTAGTTGATTAATATATTAAATATCTGTCATTTATTAAATAGGCATTTGGACTTGTTGATCTCTGTATGTTCCTTCCAACTGGACTATATTATCTATACTATGTTATTCTAACATGGGGTAGATTTAAGCTATATTAGCCAAAGAATAATGAATCTGAGAAATTCTTGGACCCGTATGAGGATAGATTAACTGGAATCACTGTTGTCTTTAATGGAATAACATTCTTTACTCTCCTAAAATTCCTCAGGAACGTTGGAAGTGAGACTGATGGGATGTCAGGATTTACTGGAAAATGTTCCCGGCCGTTCCCGAATGGCTGGTTCTTCTCCCATCTGTGGCAGCCCAGGCGACTTGAAGTCCTTTTCCCTAACAAGAGTTGGCCTGGGTATCCATGGCCGTAGTGTTGCAGGAAAGTACCTGCGAAATGAAGAGCTATGTAGTGAGTATGAGGCTCCTTGCTGAGATGTGAGAACTACATTAGCCTAGTACAAGGCTGCAAAACTAAGTCACATCGTACCTAATCCTCCTGGCTATCTCCTGGAAATTATATTTGGTTGGGATAGTCACCTTCAGCATGACTAAATCTTCAGTTTTATATCAATGTAAAAGTCTTTAATCCACATTTTCTCCTTTGTCCAGATGAAGTCCTTGCTGTGCTCAAAGTGGACAATAAAGTTGTTGGCCAAACAAACTGGGGACCAGTAAATAACCAGGCATGGGACCAGAGCTTTGTCATTGAGCTAGACAGGGTAAGATGGCTTACCTTTTCCTGAGTTGTGTTTGTTTTTCCATTTCACCTTACACAATTTGCTCATTTAGTTGCAATTCCATTTGATTGGCACTGTCCCTATGCCCTTTTGTGTACCAGTTATCTTAGTCTTCCCCTCAAGGCAGTGCATCTCTGGCAGAAATTCAGCCTGAACAACATCTGTTGTCCTTTGTTCTGTATCTAAATAGTTTTATTTTATCTTACTAGCAAAGTGACTCTAAGAAAGATTCCTGAAATGTGGAGCAAAGGCAGCTGTTTCCAAAAGGTTTTGTAGCTGGGAAGATCTGAAAATGTCAGAGGCAGAGGGGGAGCAGAAGGATGAGGAAGTTTCTTATGCACACAGTCTAGTTAACCGAATTTAACAGCAGTGTGTGTGTGTGGCACATCCGGATTGTGGGGCAGCATGTAACTCTTCTGCTTTTTTGTCTCCACCACCCATCACCCATTCCCTCTAGTCTCGTGAACTCGAAATTTCAATTTATTGGAGAGACTGGAGAGAACTGTGTGCAGTGAAGTTCTTACGTTTGGATGATTTCCTTGATAATGAACGCCATGGGATGTGCCTCTTGCTTGAACCCCAAGGAATGCTTTTTGCAGAGGTAGAAATGTCAACTTTGTTTCTTTTTCAGAGAAATCTGTCTGCTCAGGGTGCCTGTCCTGAGAGCAGTTGTTCAACCCAGTACACAAGGAACAGAAGGAGTAATAATCTAGAAGGGTAGAGTGACACCTGAAATACTTTTTGATCAATATCATGTATATGAATAAGGAGCAATGTGATATTGTAAGACACACCCTGAAGTGACACTTCAGCTACTCCTCTGTACTTACATGTGTGCACTGTGAAAACCATTGTTTTTTTAATTTGCTTTCATTATGAGTCATTGGTGACACTTTAATTAGACGTAGGGCTTAATGGTCAGGTTTGAATTACACAGGCTGTAGAATCAGAATTCATATTCCCTCTGGGTATACTTATTTTACCATCTTTCTGAAGATAGTAATAAAGAGTTAAATGCTATCATGAAGAGATCATCCAGATAATCCTTTACGTGCTACAGTGCTTTCTTGTTTGTGTTGCGATAAAAGATCCCATGCTTAACTTTCCAAAAGCAGGATCTTGACCTTACGGACCAAAATTTACCTCCTATCCTTTGTGTTTAGTGGTTGACTTTTTTTCTTTTTTTTAATTTAATTTTTGTGCCATGGACTGCTGCTTTTTTTTTTTCCCCACCTTACAAATAGCTGCATTATAAAGCAGCTTTTTATGTATAGGTTTGAGTTAGATTAATTTTATTTAGGATATGAATTGGTCTCAAGTTTTTGGGTTTTCTTCATTTCAAGACACAGAAAATTTCAACCACAGTTGAAATAACAGATGTTTAGACAGTGAAGCTAGAATAACACGATCTGGAATCTGTGGGAGTGATTCTTAGCTTACCAAAAAGATATGAATGGAGAATCTGATGAGAGAACATGTGTGCAAGTTCACATTCACAATGTAAATGCACTATTTTGAAAAATCCCATTTGCTTCTTTGACAGGTGATGTTCTGTAATCCTGTCATTGAGAGAAAGCCAAAACTGCAGCGACAGAAACGTATTTTCCCCAAACAGAAAGGTGAGCTCCTATAGAGCTGAAAGGTAACTGACTGTCTGGGGTGTGTGGGTGAGGGCAGGAGTTTGCGCAAGTAGTCTGCCATGCACTCCTATCTCATTAAATTTGTGAGGCGCATTAAAATGCTTGTTAATTACTGTGTGTAAGTAGGTGGATTTCATTATTATATTATAGTGTTCAGTCACAAAAAACTCAAGCTGTCTGGTTGCAGCATAGTGTATAATGTGATATTTTTGCACTGTTTCTATTCACAATTACCAGTGTTAGGATGATACAATTACTACTGTTTAACAGACTTCTTAGCAAGATCTAGGACTTGAGCTGTATTAATTTGCCCAGCAGTGTTGTTACTGATGAAAGGACAGGTATTGGAAAACTTCCTGGAAAAATCTAAATCGTAGAAAACTGTAGCATGAACAGGCTACTGATTGTCAAGGCTTTGGAACTGGCATGTCAGACTAGGGACTGGAATAACTCTCATACTTTCTTTTTAGTCTGCAATTTTATTTATTTATTTTTTTCCATGAAGCAGAGTAAGGTAAGATTTCACATACACGGGATTCTTGGCAGTGGGGATAAACTTGATTTTATATTTATGGAGGTGGTAAAAATAATAAAAGGATTCCAAAAGCTTTATACTGTTTTTGAGATATTTTCAGAAGCTTTCTGTTAACAGGCTGGGTGATTAAAATACAGTGTACAAATAGAAGAAAACTTGGCTTAAAATAAAATAATAAAAAAAATATATTTTATGAAGCTTCTGTTTGAGGATTGCTATGATGTTATATGGATCTATTTCATCATCATGATTAGACTTCATTCCCTAAAAGAAAGTTAATTCTTCCCAGAGTGCATTTCTATTTTCTTGGTAAGCCCACAGGTGTTTGGATGATAATGGTAGTCTAACAGTTCATCAAGCTGTAATCTGTACGTTGTAATCTCAGCAATGTTTCCCCTTCAGGGAAAGAATTTCTCCGAGCTCCTCAAATGAACATCAGTGTTGCTGCTTGGGGTCGCCTGATGATGAGCTTCCTCCCTCCATGTAGTTCCATTAGCACTCTGAGTCCCCCACTTCATGATTCCATGCATGCGGATTTCTCTCCAGTTCCCCTACAAAATCATGTCAACTCAATAACCAAGCTGAATAGGTAAGTCATGTTCTGAATATTGCTGTATGGCAGTCTGGAATGGGCATAAAATACACCTTAAGATTTTATTGCACCTTACTGAGGTGGAAAAATATATTAATATGGAAGTCGTATCTGTAAAACTTAATTCAGGATTTTAAGAAAAGCTGATGCTGCCTGAAATGAAGTGGGCTTGGTGGGTTGTTCAGTGTTCTGTGGTTCCTTCTGAATTATTGTTGGCAGCTGAACCAATTTCCAAAATCACCGTCCCAATAAGCAGTGTGCTCCAGAACAAGGGGAATTTCAGCAACTTTGTCTTTCTCTGCAGTGAGAACTGTGGGTATAGAAGTGGTCATAACTAAGCACTATGATGCAGAAAACAATAAAGCAGATTATCAAAAGTAACATGAGTCTAATCAACAACTTAATAGATAGTTTTCGGTTATTTAGAAGAGCATGTTTCTCGTTGATGCTTCACACACTTGTCTTGTGAATCAAATGGTCCTCTTGTCCACTGTATTGGACTGAAATAAACTTTGCTTACATGTTAAAGGTGATATATTTGTGTTTCCATACAATGCTCTGCTCTAAGGCAATTTCTTCTTTTTTTTTCTTACAAACGCAGTGACTTTCCTGTGGCAAAGTTTACATATGATGATGAAGCACCACCCAAGCCTCCACGTCTCTTTCTGATGTCCAAGTCCAAAGAACCAACACCATCTCCTGCAGATTCTCCGGTAATCTGGGCCAATAGTGAGACTTTTATTTGTTGGTTGATATTCTTTCAAGGCCCGGTTCTAATTTATTTTATTACTGGAGAAATTACCTGTGCTTCTGACAGTTGCCTCCTCATTAGCTGAGCTGATTGGTCTCCAAGGTTTCAGAGCCCAGTAAGCTATTCTGGCATGGAGTATTCATGAAAGTCTTGCAGCTCTTTTTTAGTAATATATAGCTTTTCTTGCAAAATGAGAGGTAGGTCAGCATTGGGAATTCAGGGCAGAAGTACCCAACAGATATCTATGAATAAAAAGTAGGGTTCAACAGGCTTTTAGGACCAGGTGAAAATGTTTGTTGTTAAGGAAATTGGGCAAAAAGAGAGAAAAGCTCTCATTTTCTGAGAAAAAGGAGCAGGAAAATTGTTCTGAGTGATATAATGCGTAATAACTTGTGTTCGACCATGTCTAATCCATTTCTTCTTTGGCTTTGACAATAGAAGAGTCTGCATTCTCTAATCACTGTGGCTCTTTTAGACACTTGAAATGTCTTTTCTTTTTCTATAAAGAAAATATTTTTTTCCTAGACTTCTTAAAGCATACATGGTAGTAGTTTTGTGTAACCACAGACAACCTTTGTTGATCTGCTTTCCTCCAAGCGGAAGTGATGACCAACTTCAAATACTTGTCATGCCGTATTGTTACACCAGAGGAAATTTGGATCACGGTATCTACACCTGATTTGGTGATTCCAGAGAATTACATTCTGCAACTTTCTCTCTGTTCCTAGTGTCTGAAGAGGCTGCATGTAGAGGAGAAGACTTGCAGCTCTGCTTTAACAGAATTTGCAATCCAGGCATCTCCAAGGTAACAGTGGGCAGCATGAGATGTCTTGGGTCACAGATTTAAGAAGCACTGGGCTGAAATTTCTGAGCATAGAGTACAAAAATTTTACTTAAGATATGCTTTGGTTTCTCAGCAGCAGATTCTTAGTGCTGTTTATGGGCAATACCATGAAAAGTCTGCTCTGAACTTTACTTCTCCAAATGTCTGCTACCCCTTACTTGCTCATTAAATCCCATTACTTAGCCTATTAATAGACTTTACAATGTAATAACCAATGTTAGTAGGAACTAAGGTCACTTAACTGCCTTCCAGTGCTTCCTTGTGTTAAGATTTTATAGTTTAGTGCATTTAGACACACCAAAGTAGAATTGTAAGACATGTATTTCAGAAACACTCTTGGCACCCTTTTCACTCTTTTGTTTTCATCAATATGCAAGACAAAATGTTTTTCGTTATATAGGGAGGCATAAAACAGGAAGTTGTTTATAGTCTGTGGCAGGTAAGTACATATCTTGTATACTGAAAAGATACACAGTAGTATACATACCAAAAACAAGTAAAAAAATTGCTATTGTTGAACAAACACTGACTGAAAAAGTACAAATAAGACCTGCCTGAGCAGATCTTGAAGTTCAGATCTTAGAATATTCTGATAACTTCATCATCACTTTTGTGGGATCCCGTCTTGAAAATGCTGGAGTCAGGATGCATTCAGACAATTACCTACCTTCTCTCTGAGAAAGCTTAGGAGGGAGTTGGGTCCTAATGAGTTGGGTGCCTACTGAGCCCTTCATTTCACTCTCTGGAGGAGTATAAAGCATCTGCTACCTTTTAAAGGTGATCCTGGTGTAAAGCTTTTGAGGGGTGGGTGTTTTGTTTTTTAAATTATTTCCAAGCAATTCTGTGGTCTGAGTTTCCTTGGTAACACCTTGTAGCTGATGTAATGTTCTATAGAATCTCTCTTTTTTTTTTTTTTTTTTAATTTTATTTCCCTAGCAACATCTTATGTCTGTTGTCTCTCTTTGTTTCGTTTCCAATTCCTGTTTGAGAACTTCTCTTCTTATTATTCCCTTGTCCTCCTGGCACTTGATATACATGTTCATGGCTGGTTGTCACAGTTGCAGATGAGCCTGCTGAAAGGAGTGTTGGCAAATCTGAATTTTACTCTCCCAAGGATGGGGGATGTGGGAGAACTAATTCTGTTATGAGAAGTACACTCCAGTGGCAGAACAGCAGGCCTAACTTCTCAGGATTTCAGCCAAGGTGGCAGGTGTTCACCTTGCCTTTTGCTGTACTGAGCTTCTTCCTCTAACACAAATACACACTCGTCTGCATTCTGTTTCTGCATCTTTTGTATATTGTCTCAGCAAATCTTGTTTGTTTGTCTTCAGGAAAGGGGCAGTTCATCTTGAGGATTTTCACTGCATCGCCATGCTGGGACGTGGCCATTTTGGGAAGGTAGTGTAGAAGTGCTTTCTCTGTGAAGGGCTGTAGGGCTGCTGTTGTGAAGGTGGGCCTCTGCCTCAGAGTCTGAATAGAAATGTTGCAGATTTGTTGCACGGCAGATACACAAACAAAACCACGAGCAGATGGTACTCTTGCTAACAGCCAAAAGTCCTGAAGATTTGTGGCTTCAAAACATTGAGGAAACCCTCCAGGGAGTGCCAAACTATCTAATAGAGCACAGTGTTACCACTCGTTCCGTTATCACTGTGATCATTGGTGGAATAGTGTGATTCCCACAAAGTGTGCGTATAGGTGCTTGCTGTAAGAGTATTGAGGTGCTTTTAAAACACAGCAGTAATGCTGCTGTTTCTGAAAAGATCATAACTTACAGTGATGTCTTCCTGGACTGCAGCAGCACAAGGAGTAGGGAAAAAGAGCTCCATTTTTTGGAGCCGCTTGAGCCTGGTTTTAAGAATGACTGTCTGAAGTGGATGGAAATAGTTTCTGTTAATGGGAGTCAAAGTAATCCAACAAGGAAATAACAGATTTGTTTGGAGTACAGCATTTTTGTTGTCTTTCAGGTACTGCTGGCCCAATACAAAGCAACTGGGAAGTTGTATGCTATCAAAGCCTTGAAGAAAAAAGATATCATTAGGAGAGATGAAATTGATAGGTGAGCTTTGTCGTACAATTGCCAATGATACATTATCACATCTGTAATCTGTAGGTATGATGTATACTAGTCTTAGTGCTATTAATGTTTAGGATGACCTTAAGGTTGGAGTATCTAAAATCAGGAGTAAGGGAACTTACAACAACTTTCTTTCTAGCTTCTGGTGCAATAATATGCACCTGAAGAATGATCTAAAATTCAAGGTTTGGAAGCATATAAGACAAATATTGTAATAACCACGCTTTTTATTTCCATATCGTAAGAGGTAAAGAGTTTCATCTTCATTCTGTCTTTCTTGAAAAAGGTTTTTCTGCCAAATTTTAACACTGACATTTTAATTCTTTGAATCCTGGCAGCTTGAACTGTGAGAAGCGAATATTTGAGGTGGTCAATTCTTCTGATCATCCATTCCTTGTGAACATGTTTGCATGTTTCCAAACACCTCATCATGCTTGTTTTGTGATGGAATACACTCCAGGAGGTGATCTTATGATGCGCATACATGAAGATGTTTTTCCAGAGCGTACAGCACAGTGAGTTACAATTAGTCTAGTTTCCAGGCATTGTAAGTGTTTAACTTGGTTCTCATATATTTTTCCTGATAATTGTTCCTCTTTGCTAGGTTTTACACGGCCTGCGTAGTCTTGGGACTCCAATTTCTGCATGAGAAGAAAATTGTTTATAGGTAATGCAGTGAAAAATCAAATATAAGACAGCTTAGCAACTTGAAAGTTTATTTTTTTCCTGTAGCTACATCTCTGGAGCTATCTTGCTGAAGTCTCTAGTCTTTGTCTTTATTTTTCTCATCTCTAAGCTGCTTTGTGAGGCTTTCATTAAGAGGAAAACATCAGTAAGTTGAGGGGAATCTTCCAAATAATATGTGGTTTAAACTGAATGTAGACTGGTTGTAGATACTTATTCTTTTTATGAACATCTAGTTTCTGCCTCATGCAAAAGAGTCTGGATGGCAGTCCTCAGACTTCATCCACCATTTTCTTCACCCCCTTCTTTGCCGACAGGGACCTGAAATTGGATAATCTGCTTTTAGATGCTGAAGGATTTGTGAAGATTGCAGATTTTGGACTGTGTAAGGAAGGTGAGTTCCTTTGATGAAGCCAATATTTAAGCATCAGAACAAAGCTTAGGGTCTGGGCTTTGGTAAGGTGTTCACAAATATGAGTACCAGGTGGCTGTATGTAACTTTATCTCCACTTAAAATAAACATGTATTCATCTCCACTTAAAAAAAAATAAATGTCACCTGTCTGCCTATGATGAACTTGGAAAGAGTACCCTTTGCTCTTCAGGTACCTTATGAAGGAGTTTACAGTGTACTTCTCTGCTGAAAGAAGCAAGGATGTAGGATGCTACAAGATATGTACTTAAGTAAATGAACAGTGGAATCTGCAGGTTTTCTTGATTGAGTTGCTTATTTAAGCATTGTCTGAGTTGCTATTCAGAGTTGTTGGGGACCTGAGGTATCATACGTTCTCATTAGTATTTGCAAACACTGATGAGAGCCTTTACATGGTTAACAACAAATTATCAAGAGGTAACCTATCGCTTTCAGAAGATGAGACTGCATGAGATCTATTTAGAAGCATGTGCTGGATTTGATAAGAGTGTTCTTGTCCTGCAGGAATAGGTTTTGGAGACCGCACAAACACCTTCTGTGGTACTCCTGAATTTCTGGCTCCAGAAGTCCTCACAGACATCTCTTACACTCGGGCAGTAGATTGGTGGGGACTGGGTGTGCTCATTTATGAGATGCTTGTTGGTGAGGTAAGACCGCATATCTCTTACAGAATATCATCAAGCAGTCTTGGGCAGAGCAGTACCCAATCACCTGAGATTTTGATGAAAGTAGCAAACTATTTATTAGTTATTAATAATACTGTAGTATTTAGATAATTTTTCTGTGCTTGCCAAAGAATAATTGATCTGTACAACTCCTTGCTATTCTCGTTCCTGTATATTAGCAAGGAATGGATGCCATGTGTGTTAAATTAAAAATTGTCACAATTGCAGTCGCCATTTCCTGGAGATGATGAGGAAGAAGTCTTTGATAGCATTGTCAATGATGAAGTCCAGTATCCACGATTCCTTTCATCAGAGGCACTTTCTATAATCCGTAAGGTAATGAGCTTGAGGGGTCTCTGTGTGCCTGAGGAATTTGTATTTTATCATAAATGGATTCACAGGAACTCTGTTAGGACCAGGTACTGTTTGTGTGTGTAGCCTACAGCTGCCTACATGGATTAAAGAAACACTTAAAATTTATGTATATTTTTTCTTCTCTATACATAAATGCTATTCTTCAGCCTGAGAATGAATAAGGAATCTTCTCACTGAGGTCTGTTGCTGCAAACTCTGAAATAATGAAGTGTTGATTCAAAGACAGAAGTATTAGAGTCATTCACTGAAAGTGGCTTGATTTGATTTTTGAGTGTAACCTGGTAGTTGCAGGTGCTTTTGAGTGTAACCTGGTAGTTACAATTAAGATGAGATTCTACACACAGTTTGTAGTGGGTATGTCACTGACAAGCTGTTCACAAGGAGCTATGTTTGAGCTATTACTAGCAGTTTGACTTTGCTGCAGAGAAAGTGAATGAGAAAATACTGAGGAGCTGGTTCATCTCTTTCAGTTTTTATCTTCAGAATGTTGGTTTTGTCCATCTTTGTTCCACTTATTTAATTCTGAACTGATCTTTCCTTCAGCTTCTTCGAAAGTGTCCAGAGCGTAGACTGGGAGCAGGGGAAAAAGATGCAGAAGAGATTAAAATCCAGCCCTTTTTTAAGGTAGGAATTCACTTTACTCCTCCTCCTTAGCTCTTGTATTTGAGATGAGTGGTTTGCTTTCTGTTGGTACTGAGGCAAATTTCCATTATTTATCAGTGAGATCTTAGTGGCAGCTTATGTTGCATCTTATTGCTCTATTCAGGCATTAGTGTTTCAATTCATGTTGGCAATGGCACCCCTAAGTGTGTTTTCTGGGCTCTGTAAGCTTCCAGGACCAGCTTGTTATTCCAGATTGTGCTGCTTCTATGTATGAGTATATATTTCTTTTAAGCTATCACCAAATACTCTGTTATAAATCAAACTGCAGCAGACAAAGATGTGGTCCAGTGATGAAAGACATTGCCATTCAGTCTAGTTGGTGGCACCTACATTTGCAGAATATACAAGAATCCTAAGAGAAGTTGGAGTTAAAGATACACTTGCTTTAGGTCAGTGGCATATGTTTGCTTTAGGCAAAGGTGTTACCATTCCTCCAGGTGCTGTTGAATCTCTATACTACCTGGCCTGCACCAACCATATTGTTTGCTTTGGCATGTTTTTTCCCTTCATTTTAACTTCACATTTTACAAATAATGTCAGCCTGGCCTGTTCACTTCCTTCTCTTACAGGAAATGGATTGGGATGCTTTGTATGCCAGGACTCTGAAGCCCCCTTTTGTGCCCACTCTAAAAGATCCAACAGACATTAGCAACTTTGATGAAGAGTTTACATCACAGAAGCCAATTCTGACTCCTCCAGAGGAGGTTGCTCTCCTAACCCGTAAGGAGCAGGCTGTCTTCAAGGACTTTGATTTTGTCTCCAAACACCTTTTGTATGCTTGATTCCTGTGCTTAAGAAACATGAACAAATAAATTGTTACCATCTTGAGAGGGCATAGAGAGGACTTGGCATGGGCAATGGAAAAGTCAACAAACTTCATAGAATGGGTAGTGGTGAAGTGCCCTGCAAACTGTTACTCTGCTGTGTTTTTTTCAGCCTTGCTTGCTGGAGGAATACTGGATGTGAATTACCTTTGAGAAGTTCACTTTTGATTGGATGTCTTCTGCTGCCACTGAATATATATATATATATATGTAGTAATTTGGAATTTAATCTGAACTTAATTTAATGATTTAATTGTCATCTCTGCCTCCCAGGTTACTCTTTACAAAGAGCCAAAGGAATGCAGCTCTTTTGGGTTACATAATACCAGGGAGAATGGGCGCTCCTCTCCTGTTTTCTATAAGAGATATGCAGTGCTCCTTCTTTGTAGAGATTTTATTCCTGTTCCCACTTGTGTATGCCAGAGAAGGAATGGATTTTAACACAACTGAGGTAATGATGTTTGAGTTTGGTAATGATCCAAGTGATGTACCTTAAGTAAAAACAAAACAAAACTCTTTATACTTCTTTCAGGATGTGAAATCTTAGCTATGGATTTTAATAATGTAAAGAAGCCACCATTTTGCACATGCTTTCTTTTCCTTCTTTTTTTTTTTTTTTTTTTTAAATAAAGATACTATTCCTTATAATTAAATCTCAGCTTTTCATCTCCTTGGTGTTAGGTGAATGTTTCAGATCAGTGCTACCCATAGTAAACTCAGTAGACAGGATTTTATTTTTCTCTGTAAATGTCAGGGTAGTATTTTTCTTCCTTCCTTCCTTCCATCCCAAGTTGTCTGTGTACATATTGCATGGTATGATCAGCTGTCACATCCAAATGATTGCAGTCAAGTTGTCTCTCTGCAGTTGTTCATCAATGTGTATATCCTGTATCTTTTTTGGAATAGTTAAATATTGACAGTGTTAGTGCTGGAAAATCAGGATGCTTAAGCTGATCTAATTTGCCTAGCAACATACTTTGTAATTAAACTTGGTTAGATTCATTTTCTTCTCTATAATTCATGTTAACTTGCTGGGTAAAAAAAGGAAAGCATGTATAGAAATGAAGCATTTCACTGAAGACAAATAAGGACACAAAGCTCTTATTCTTTCAGTTTTCTTCAGCAGAGGTAGACAGAAGTTGAACTAATACAATTGTGCTATTTTTGGAGATAAGAAGCAGCTCGTGAGTTGCCTGGGTTAAGTGCTTCAGAATTCAGAGGCATTTAAGAGCTTTAGTAAGAGCATATGTTTGTGCAAAACAAATAATTCAGTCTGAACATTGTTTTCCTATTTTCAGAGCCAAGTATAACTGCTGCTGAAACTTCCAGCATATAAACATACTTTCAACCTTCTGCACCATTTAAAGGAGGATACACATCTTCCTCTACCAGTTGAATGTAATGGTTGGCTTGCTTATGGCCCTGCAGTTGTTTCGTGATTTTCCTTTTTTTTTTTTAAGGACTTCTTCAGAGCGTTAAGCACAGTGAGTTGTTAGTTCAGGTGAAACCTAGAAGTTGAGTTTCAGAAAGAGAGGCAAAAAGAAACAAACAAGATGTATGTAATTGTTTAATACTTTTATAGTACAAATACCATAAGCTACCATTTCAGTGCAAGTACAAGAGAATTACCAAAGAGCACAACGCTGTGTTTTGAACTTTATTACCTGCTGGCATATTTTTGAGTGATAGCTGAAATAATTGCTAAGGAGGAAATGAGCCATCCTGCAACAGGCACCACATTGACACAACTGCAGGGTCCCTTCTGGACTGTGCATCATTATTATGAAAACAATTCTTAATATTCTGATATCCCTCTGACAGGAGTTCCTTCTCTGAACGCATTAGCCTGGATGCAGGTTACAGACTCTGGATTTGGTTAAAAAAAAGTCTGCATTTTCAATCTGCTTTTGGACTATCATGTTACATTAGTGACTCTATGACTCTATACTGTTCTTTCCTGAGTGCTCATTAGCCCTGACTGCATTCTGCCAGCTTGCTAGATGTATTCCTGAGCTGCTGTTAACTTCTGAATCAAAGCAATTAAGGCACAATAACTAAGTTGTTGGATGTGGTTTGCTTTTTTTGTTTTTAAAGTAGAAAAGGGTCAGCACTAAAATTCACACCACAGGCCCTTCTACTTTAAATTGTTGATCCTAACTTCCAGTCCTTATGGAAACTTGAACTATGACCTTCTATTACAATGAAAAACAAGTAAAGCTGCTGCCATCCTGGAATGCTATCAAACAAATAGGACCTAGAACCTTTCCTTTGCAAGATTCCATTCCAGTGCCACTTTGTATTATTTCATTATTTCATTAAAATTGTACTTACATGCTGAGGTAGTAACATTACCACTAGTGTTACTTGAGCTAGGCAAGAAGTGCTCACCTGTGTTACTGGCTCTTTCCCCATTAGATACAGTAAAGGCATAGGGCATGAGGTTATCTGCAGAAGTAACTCTATAGACAAGCATTGCTCTTCTGTCCAAACTGGTTGACATCATTCTTTGCTGAATTCATTCAAAATACCCTATGAATTTTTGACCACCATCAACTTAAAGGAAAAAAAAAACTGTTAGGATGCTGATCAGGACATCAAAAGGTACAAGCTAATGATCTCGGCTGAATTTGGTGCCTTACAGCTGTTTCTCATGGACGTTAATGCTATGAAACCTCGAAGTGTGCAGTTTAGGCATGTAGTCAAAATGAAATTTGCTTTTGACTGTACAAATATTTATTCAAATATTTCTCTTATGTATCCAACATTACTGACAAAAGGCACTGTGGTTCTTCACAGTAAGAGCTATGCTGAAGAAAGGCCACAGGGATTGTATTGATTCTGGCTGGTTTGTTGGTAACAGCTGCTGTTCCTTAGCAGCAAATGAAGAGGAAACTTTGGGGAGCAGAAGTTTACAAGGCTGTCATGCAGTTCTTGCATCTCTTCAGGTGTGGATGCAAGTTAACACAAGGAAGGGTATTTAAAGAGATATCTCTCCTTGGTCAAGACATCAGAACTTCTGAGCACCTCAGAACCAGTGCCTCCCCTTTAACAGTGTTATTCATATATAAAAAAAATAGCCCTGATTATCCTTCTTGATTTGCTTTTATGGATGGACAGGTTGTGGAACATGTTGCATAATCCGCGATGTATTAAAGTTCTAAGCAACGTATGCAAAGCTTTATCCAACAACCTGCAGCTGTCTTTTGGCATTTTACTCATTAGGTACCACTATGACTAGACAGGTTCATTGCTCCTGTGAAAATAGATCTTCTCCCATGCAGTGAGATGGCATGAACAGAAGAACCTCCAGAGATTGCGGATTACTCCTTGGTCAAAGGGATTCTCCAGCTCAGAGTGCCGCAGGTAGGAGATGCGGTGGTACGACATGAACTCCCAGGTGGTGGTGTTGCATGAGATCAGATAGAGATGTGAAATAAGCAGCAGCAAGACAACAATGGTGAATATGACTATCAGGAGGAAGGATATGAGGAGGAAAATGTTGTGCCGCAGCCACTCCCAGGACTGTTTAAAGTAAAGGCCTGACCTTTTAAAGAGAAATAAAGTCAACGTTAAACATGGAAAACTAGTTATATAAACCAAGCGTCATATTTAATTTGATTCATAACTGGTGAGATTCTGATCATCATGTAATGCAGGTCATTTTATATATTGTAAGTTCTTAACAGATTGCAACAGCAGTGCCTTAGGTTCTAAGAAGTTTAAAAGACAATGGGTTCACCTAACAGCTGAAAAGATGCAGTCATCTTCAGCTGACTCCTCTCCTGAATAGGTCCATGGCTGAAACTCAGATGGAGTTTCCAAAAATCTCATAAATATTGTATTACAATAACTGAAGCAAAATCAGCTGCTCTTCTACTTCTGTTAATTCTATTAATTTAACCTCTAAACAAAGATAAGCAGTGAAACCTAAAATATTAGATCCTGCTCAGCTACTGATCAGCTGTGTTGTTCCTCAGCAGATCAGAAGGCTCAGAAAAGCTGATCTTTAGGATGCAAATCAGGGTGAAGACACAAAGCCGATCCAGTCACTGCTACATTCTGCACAAACCCCTTAAGGGGGATCTCCAGGAGCACCAAGACTCCTAAGTTCAGTGGTCAAAGTGCTGCTTCCAGGCCTTACCAAGCAACATGTCCTCCCCACAGCAGAACTACAAGCTGTACACTAAGGTAGACTATGAAGAGGGGGTGATTCTTCTCTCCCACGCAATTCTCAATCCAGGGGCAGTGATGGTCGTAGCGCCGAACGCAGCGTTGGCACAGCTGGCAGTGCTTGGCTCGCATTGGTTGCTGCAAAGCAAAAACAAAACAGTAGCAATAAATCCAGTCTTGTTAAACTTTCTGCTTGGTAAAAGCATTATGCAAAAACATCCACTTCCCAAAAGCACTCCATTCTGAGATAACAGAACAACATCAGCATGGCTGAGACAAATGAAGGGGATTGAGACTCCCTTAGCACAGATCCCAGTGAGTGAGATCTAAATTAAATGACTCTTCCACACTATCCATATATATTATCTACCTATATATAGGAAGTTGAGCATGCAAAGGAGGGATATTAAGTAAATCAGTCTATTTAGGAAAGCGTGAGCAATGTGTTGAGGGGTGCTCCTAGTTCTTCTAGGACCTCTGCTGCTGAAGGAAGTGTGCAGGGGTGGGACGTCTTCAGGGGATTGCAGAGGGACAGATTCTCCTTTTCTGTGGAAATATAAGAGACTTGCACAGCTCAAGTGCCAAGAGCAGATAGGATACAATATATAGCTGAGGCAAGTAGTATGACTGTGCCTCCTAGGATTTGCTCCTTGAAACGTGTGTGTGTTTTGCTACAATATCCTCTTGCAATAAGCTGATTTCTCTCGCTAGATATTCTTCAGGAATTTATGGGAGCTGGGATAATGCTGGATTTTATTACATTGATAAGGATCACTGTACAAATAGGCATTTCTAGGCTTCAGGCAAACTGTTTCAAGAGCTAATTTAATTGCTTTAATTTTTCCTTCATGCACTCTTTTACAATTCACTCTAATGTTTTGTTGTTTTTAGACCCCTAAACAAGCTCACAGCTACCAGCAGTTCTGCATATAATGCCTAACAGACTTTCTGATTCCCTATCAAGATACCTTCAAAATAACCTTTTTGGCAGTGCTGTGAGGTCTGGTTGATGTGGCAGTAAGAATGTTGAACAAAATTTTCCCATGGTGGAATATGTGAAAAGAAGATCCATGTTTATATGACTCATCAGGGACTTGTTTCAACCTTGGAAAATTAGCAGACATGCCACTGTTTATCATTACACCTGTAGCCACACAGTCCAGTTGGATCACTCTTCTACTGAGGATGCACCTGAGGTCTGTCAGCAAGTTGTGTTTGCTTCCTCAGTGGGTTTTTCAGCAGCAGGACGACACTGTGCCAGAATTAACTGGTCAGCTCTGCCATGCCTCCAAACCACTAAGCAGCAATAGCTGAGTATTCTCTACTAGCACACTGTTGATGCCTACCTTCACCATGCAGTAGCCACAACGCCGCATCTTAACACTGCTTGAAACCTGGGGTATCACCATGCATTGCTCTTCACTTTTGTCTGCCTATAAATAAATAAATGGAGCAATGAAAGATGTATTCTGTGCTGCTGTCTGAAGAATGGCAGCTATTGGCCTGCTTGGCAAGGCTGAGCTACCTGGATCCTTTTACTTGACAGTTACATAGTGCTGGTTATCTCTGTCATTAGGAAAGTTAAACAAAATAATTCCTAGCAAAGTACAGAAACTGCTACACAAATACTCTGGCATGAAATTCCATTGCAGATACTTAGGGTACGTGCAGAGACAAAGGCTACTGTAACCATCAAAAGAACACTTGTATAGAGGCGGAAATAATTGTGGACAAGATACCACACAGATCCCAAGTACAATTCAGGACATAAACAAACAAGGCTAGACTTCACTTCCAAACACAATCACGGTGTCTTTTCAGTATAAAGAGTGCTGTTTACTCATAACACAGCCAATGTCAACGTTAACAATGGAAGATTAAAACTGGCCATGCCTTGTATAATCTCTTGTCCCACGCAACCAGCAAAGCAGTGAACCTGGAGCAGAATACACCTCGGTTATTCAGCACCTCCACCTGCCCCGCTGCAGCAAATCCACACACAGTGCAGTAAATACAGCTGCAGGGAGTACTTTCTTCTAAGCTTGGCCTTCAAGTCCAGGTTCTCCATGCTGATACCAGTGAGCAGCGCCTCGCATAAAATACGAGATGTAAATATTCCATATTCCAAATATATTGCATTCCTCAGAGGCGAAGCTGCTTCTGAGGAAAGAGGACAGACTGATGGCACAGGGTGCTGGCTAAGGGAGACGTGGGGTAACAGAAGCACGCAGAAGCTGCAAACCCTTCCTGTTACAGAACACGAGCCAAAGCCTCGCAGCCCTCATCACCCGACGGGCTGCACATGTTTTCCTTGCGCCAAGCACAAGGGAAATCATTTCAAGTTGTTCTTATGTAGCAAAAAACCGCGCAGCCCCAGCACCTTCCACGCACACGGCGATGTACCTCTGCCTCCTCTTCAGCCCTAACGAAGCCCGGGTCCATGAGGGACACCCTGAAGTACAGCAGCACGGAGCACCCGAGCAGCGCTACGAAGATCGCGGGCTGCAGCACGGCTCCGCGCTCCGCTTCCTTCTGCAGATCTGAAAGATAATCCCATACAAAGGATCGCGGCGGCTCCCGGCACAGCCCTCGGGGCTTTTCTCACCCCGCGACCGCATCCCTCCTCCCGCCACAGCAACGCCTTCCGAGCCCCCACAGCCGCCTGACCCCCCAGCGCCACCCCGCAGCCGCGGGGCCGGCCGGGCCGTCATGCAGCACCGCCGCCCCGCAGAGCACCGACCCCCTCCTCCCCCAATTCCCGGCCGGGCGCTGCGACGGCCCCGCCTCACCCGTGCGGTGCAGGAAGAGCCCCAGCGTTAAGCCCCCGCTGAGGGCGGTGTGGGCGCTCCTCACCCACAGCCCGCCGGCTCCCATGGCGCCGCAGGCCCGGAAGGAGCAGCGCCGCGAGGCGAGGTGCTGCCGGCCCTCCCCTCCCCTCCCCTCGGCCCTCCCCTCAGCGCCGCGCCGCTCCCTCCGCTCCTTCCCGTAGCGCTCGGGCGCTGCCCGCCTCCATTCGCACCGTGCTGCCCTACGCGGCCCCTCAGCCCTATTTCCCCGTGTACCGCGGCCCTGCGGTGGAACGGGGTTGTTAGAGCCGAGGACAGGGCTGCTAAACGTACGCGGCGGTGCTGGGGGTCCGACCAGCCGTGCGTTGGGGGCTCTGTGAGACGCTGCCGTTTTATTTTATCGGGTGGTTTCAGAAACGTCCGTAGCAGAACGCACTGTTAGCGGTGCTCGTAACGTGGCGGAGCTTTGGTGGGGCTGCCAAGGTGGGATCTGATCTCAGCTCAGACATCTGAAGCACAGGCGTTTGTGTCTGAGGGGTCCTGGGCTCTCCTGGCAGCTCTGGAAGGAAATACAGCCATCTGCAGCTCCAAATTGCACCCTGCTTTGGTCTCTGCTTGTTTAGATGTACCCTCTGCGTCTGTTCTGAGGAGATGGAGCTCACCAAAAACCTGTAGAAATCCCGAAATGAGTGGGGTTTTTTGTTTATTGCTTTTTTTACCTTCCCTCCCAGTAAACTCAGAAGAGGAATCCCACTCTTAGCGATTGTATCCTCTGCCCCTAGAAAGCAGCCCATACCTTGGTGTTGTTTGACCGTTGGATTATTTCTGTCTGTTTTAAATGTCAGAGGCCACTTGCTGATTCCAGGGAAGCACCTGGTTCCACAGGTGACACAAATTACTTATTTAAGACAGCTGCATTGGAATGTTAATAAAAACAGGAACATGGTTTAGCGGCTGTGGTGCTGATGGTTGGGCAAGATGGTCTTAGAGGTACCTTCTAACTTTTATGATTCTCTGAGAATGGCCTGAATTTGCCTTTGCAATGGTTATTCGAATCCTTTTTTTTTTCTTTTTTGTTTCTTTTTAATTATTCAGGTAGTTCAGAAACCTACAGAAATCCTCCCTCAGAAACCTCCTGGATGAGATCAGCGCTTGTCAAAACTGAGAGTTTGGAGGTGGCCCTGCTACTGTCTGCGTGCTTTAAATATCCTGAAAATCTTTCTGTTCAAAGAAAACCTTTCAGAGCAGTAGGGAGCTCAGAAGAGTAACATCAGTCTCTGTCTGCAACCAGGAAAAAAAAAGGTGGGAAGTTTTTTTCCTTTCTTTGTGGAGCGGTGTGAACTTTAAAGCTTAACGAAAGCAATTTGAGTAGTAAAAGCGTTACCCACTTCAAAGCAAAAACATTCTGATATTCCAGAATAATCTGTCATAAGGGATGTATTCTTTCTCTTTTTGTGATTAGAATAATTTAGTGCATGTTATGCTTTTTTTGTTCTTCATAGCTTTGAAACCTGTCTTGAATGAGAGCTTATCTCTGCCTCAAGGGTTTCAACCCAAAGAGCTGCTGGTTGAAGTTAAGCTTGGTTAGAAACCCTCTATGAGCTGTAAGTTTCTGGGCAGAGGATCTCGATTCTTATGGCATTCCAGCGAGGAATGTCGTGCTGCTGGAAGCCTAAGATACCTCTGTTCTCTGCAGTGTGGTCCATTTTCAGCTCCCTGTGCGTAGTTCTGTTTTACATAACTCTTTCTCTTGCTTCAGCCACTGAGAGTCTGACCCTTCAGAGGTTTTACAGTGACCACTGGATTAACTGGGAGTTGAACTCTTGTGAGATCAGTGTCTTAAGAAGGAAGTCTTGCTGGCCTTAAAGCAGGTTGACTGTTTTAAACTAAAAAGAGTTTTTCTTTAAGTGTTCAGCTTCTGCCCACTCGCAGTGCTTAGGCTGCAGAATGCTACAGCCACAGATCCCTTACAGAGTTCAGAGGCAATCTGTACAGTCAAATATTGTTCTGATTTCTTTTTTTCCCCTCTGACATTATTTCATAACAATACTCTCTTTCTCCATGCCTTTTTTCTATTGACAAACAGTGTTGCATCCCTCAAAGCGATGAAAGCAAAAGCCACTGAACTGCACAATCAACACATGGCAGTTCCTTTCATTTTTAATGAAATATATGACAGCAAATGGACCAATAATGTACCTATGTAATCCACACTCATAGACCAAAGGAAAAAGACATTGTTAAGCACTAGGTTTAATACACAGAGAGTATCCCAATGGATACAACAGAAAAGTTAATTCATTCAGAATTGTAAGGAAGCAACAACTGTGCATGACTTTATTTTTTGTTGTTTTTTGCTTGGTTTCACCCTGTACAAACGTTCAAACCAGGCCTCTCAACACAGGCAGGTCAAGGGACGGAGTAAAAGCAGAAGCTTGCTCATTATTACTGAGATTATTTTCTGTGTGCAGAATGTGGAAATAGCTATTTGGTTAGCTTAAAGACCGTTTTTTTTTTCTTAACAAAAAGGAATTACAGAAAGAATCAGTGACAATTATCTGAAGCCAAAATAGTCTGTCAGAGTAGAAATGTTTCAGTGAAGCAGGAAATCTCCCTAATTCCTGTTCTTAAGTGCTGTTTTTTCATCCTTCCCTGACAACCATTACTCTCTTTGCTTTGTACAGATGGTTGTCGTGGAGATCAGCTGTTTCCCCTAATTTTTATTGTCTTTTTTTCCAGTGCATGCCACCCCCTCCACCTGAGCTGTGGCAGTTGTCTTCCTAAACAGTCTCAGGAAATTTTTTCTTGTGGAATAGTGCCTGCATGCAGTGCCCCTTCCTCTGCTGCCCTGATAATTCATCATCTTCTTCCAGTGATGAATAGAATAAGCTCACAGCTCTAAGGCTTTTCTTCCCCTCATCTTTTGCAGAGACCAAAGCAACTCAAACAGAAGGCTGGGTAGGATTCAGTGCTGACCAGATAATATCTGAGCTAGCAGAGAGGTGCAGGGCGATAACAGCTATGATGCAGAAGGGTCAGATTAATTATTTGCATTGTTAATAATTGCCACAAGTATGAGTGCTAAACTTTCTCAGCATGGTCTCAGTGAGAAAGTCTGGTACTGCTACATGTTAAGCATCATACGCACAGATGCCAATCTGTATAAGCAGTTCCTCCCACGGATCTTGTCAAATGGAAGCACTTGTGGAAAGCTGCCCACCAACTTGCTGTCATGTCTATTCCAGGGAAAATGGCAGACACCTGACACCCTGCGTGCTGAGGACTGCTGCATCATTGTGCTGGGCCACTGAACCATGAGGCATCTTCCAGCCAGAAAGGAAACTACTTGCACTGGAGGTAGAGGGTTTCTTTGTTCAGTAGTCTCTGCAGAGAATTACTGAGTTGGTTCATGTTCTGCCTGCCCAGCTTTTGAATATTAAGGCAAATGTAAACATAAAGACATGAATGAGAGTGTGAATGAGACAACAACTGCAAAGCATAAGGAGTCCCTCTGCCACACTTGATCAGACTGTGAGTTTCTTTCCAGCTGTATTTTCACCTTACATTTGGAAACCCTGTTACAGTTTTCTGGTCAGGATTGGTTTCTCTAATCTTGTGTGTGGAACTGAAGCCTCCTTCCTCTGCAGTATGGGGTTTGAATGGGACAGTTCTTTTCTAAACTGTACATTTCCAGCTCAGGGAGGGTAGATTTAGGTTGGATATAAAGGAAAAAATCTTTTACAGTGAGGGTGGTGAGGCACTGGAACAGGTTACCTAGTGCTGTGTTGTGGTGGTTGATGCTCCATCCCTGGAGACTTTCCAGGTGAGGCTGGATCAGGCCCTGGGCAACCTGATCTGATCTAGCTGCAGTGTCCCTGTGCATTGCAGGGGAGTTGGGCTAGATGGCCTTTAAAGGCCCCTTCCAACTCTGAGGATTCTATAATTCTATGTAGCTAGCTGTAATAGACCAGTAATAATTTTCCCTACCCCCTATGGTTAAGTGGCAGATTCACAGAGCTAAACTTTTCTGTCAGGCTGGCCTGACTCCATTAATCTCCACATTCCTGGGAACCAGAAATCTTTTTCTGGTTCAGACTCAGGTACACAAGGATACGTGAGCAGTGAGAACAGAAGTTATCTTTGCTATGTGAAACAAAGGTTTCTTAGTTTGTGATACCACAGTGCAGCTGCAGCAGGTGTGACTTCAGTAACAGCTCAACTTACAGAGGGATTGCTTCGAATGTTTGGGGTCCTTCAGGCTTGAGGCTGATGGAACCAAGCCATCACTTGGTCATTAACCTTGAAGTAGTTTTGTCAAAATCTCAGAGTAAAGCCTGCTTGGCAGATTACAGTTCAGTGCAAGGCTGAGATGTGCTCCAGCTGCCTCTCCTGCAGGGCAGCTGCATTCTGAGGATACAGGTTTCTGACACTTAGTGTATCCATGATGTTTCCCCATCTCCTCCAATCCCACCTTGCCAACATTGTCAGAATCACTAGAGTTTTTTTGTCACTTGATTCAAGATTTTAGTGGTGGAAGTTTTCACTGCGTGGACGTTAGAATGGAAGAAAATCTAGTGGTGGCACTGTCACATGAGATGACTTCAAAAGGATAGCACTAAATAGAGAATACTGTAAGCAAAGCCTGACTCCTGCAGTGCATGGAGGCTGGTCAGCAGTATATGCAGCTGCTCTTAGTTTTGCATCTAGGAGAATGATTAGCAAGCATTACACAGAAAACATCATGAAATAAACATCTCTGTCTCAAAGCTTATAGGGACAGAAATTCTTAGGGAACAGGAATAAAAGAGAAAAATACATTTCAATCAAACAACCACAAAAAAGTGTAATTTGTCAAGTTTTTCAAACTGTATGAAAACAATTCAAAAGTGACACAAAAATATATATATAGTTTGAAAAATACTCAAAGAAAAAGTACAGATCTCACAATATCAAAACATGACATGGTTAAAAAGAGAGAAGAAAAGACATTGGATAACACCGTGTTGGCAGAAAAAAGTAAACCCCTCCAGGGCAGCTGTGTTCTGTCATTTAAAGTGTCAGTTTGTGTCCCTAGGATCTGTCCATAACATGCTCAGCAATGACAGCATTAGCTCTGAGCATCAGAAGAACCTCAGTCATAGCAGCAAGCAATGT